CTCTCTCTCTCTCAAAAATAAATAAACTTAAAAAAAAATTGAAACCGTTTAATTTTCAAAGACACTGGTAAGAAAACGAGAAGGCAAGCCACAGACTTTGACTTTGTAGTCACGATACAAACATCTGACAAAAAAATGTATATCCAAAACACATAAAGAACTATAACTTAATACGAAGACAACTGCTCAACAACAACAAAAATGAGCAAAGAGTTTTTAATAGACACACCCACAAAGTAAGATGTGTGAATTATGATCAGTAAGCACATGAAAAGATGCTCAACATCTGTTATGGACTAAATGCTTATGTCCCCCCCCCCCCAAATTCCTATGTTGAAATCCTAACTCCCAAAATGATGGTATTAGGAGTTGGGATCTTTGGGTGATGATTAGAGCCCTTATTAAAAAAAGACCCCAGAGAGCTCTCTCTGCTCTCTGCCACATGAGGATACGATGAGAAAATAAATGGCTGCTTACAACCCAGAAGAGCGCCCTCACCAGACCCCGACCCTACTGCCCCCCTGATCCTGAACTTACAGCCTCTAGAACTATAAGAAGTTTCTGTTGTTTATAAGCCACCGGCTCTGTGATAACTTCATTACAGCAGTGCAAATGGACTAAGACAACATCATTAATCATTGGGGAAATGCAGGTAAAAACTAGGTTGAGATATTACCACACAACCAATGGAATGCCTAACATGAAGAAGATTACTGACAGAGATGTGGGGCAACTAGAATCCTCGTGTTGCTGGTAGAAATGCAAATTGGTACCAATCCATGGAAAACAGTTTGGTGGTTTCTTATCAAATTAAACATACACTCACCATATGACCCGGCATTTGCATTTCTGGGTACTGCCCCCAGCAGAATGAGAACACATGTCCACACAAAGAGGCGTATCCAAGGTGTTCACAGCAGTTTTATTCATGATAGTCAGAAACTAGAAGGAGCCCAAGGTCCATCAGTAGGTGAAGAGATAAACTGCACCATATTCACACAAGATGATATTACTCATCAATAGCAGTGAACACAAAAACATGGAGACACCTCAGAAGCTTTATGTTGCGCAAAAGTAGCTTACCACAGGGGCGCCTGGGTGGCTCAGTCGGTTAAGTGTCCCACCTCAGCTCAGGGCACGATCTTGCGGTCCTTGAGTTTGAGCCCTGGATCTGGCTCTGTGCTGACAGCTCAGAGCCTGGAGCCTGCTTCCGATTCTGTGTCTCCCTCTCTCTCTGCCCCTCCCCCACTCGCACTCTGTCTCTCCTGTCTCTCAAAAATAAACGTTAAAAAAAAAAGTAGCTTGGGGCGCCTGGGTGGCGCAGTCGGTTAAGCGTCCGGCTTCAGCCAGGTCACGATCTCGCGGTCCGTGAGTTCGAGCCCCGTGTCAGGCTCTGGGCTGATGGCTCGGAGCCTGGAGCCTGTTTCCGATTCTGTGTCTCCCTCTCTCTCTGCCCCTCCCCCGTTCATGCTCTGTCTCTCTCTGTCCCAAAAATAAATAAAAACGTTGAAAAAAAAAATTAAAAAAAAAATTAAAAAAAAGTAGCTTACCACAAAAGAGTGCAGACTATGAGTTTCCATTCATTTGAAGTTTTGGAACAGCCAAAACTACTCCATAGTGACAGAGCACATTAGTGGATACCTCTGGCATGGTAAGGGCAAGGAGGCAACAGACTATAGAAGGACATAAGGGAACGTGCAGGGATGATGGAAATGTTCTTTCTCTTGAGTGGGATGATAGTCCACAGGTGTAGACGTGTCAAAATTCACCAAACCATACATTTAAAATGTGTGCCTTTTACTGCCTGTGAAGTATACCACAATAAGGTTGATTCCTTTTAAAGATCATGTAGAGCAAAAATGTAAAAAAAAAAAAGCAAGGCAAGACTGAGAAGAGAGGCGGGCCTTCTCAGCAGGCAGAAGGGAGGAAAAACACCAATGGAATGGCGGGAGGCTGCCACGTTACCGACTTTTGCAATGTTTGGGGGTTGTGTGATAAGCATGCATGACGTGGATAAAGTTCAGATAAGGATAAAGAAAAAAGTTGAGCTCTAAAAACGATCTTATAGCACCCCCATGCCTAGCCCTCTATGAGGGAAGCAGGGATGCCTGCTGTCCCCCGAGAAAGTCACCTCCTTCCTCCTCCTCTTGCCCCCAGACGCTGTTGGCATTGCTGATCTTGGTCCTGTACGTGGGCACAGGAATATCAGGTGAGCATTCTGAAATCTCAGAAAAGAGGAGCCGAGTCCACACGGGGTCGGGAGGGGTGTTGTGGAGATGGCTGCATGCCAACGAGGCCTCCACAGCCTGCCTTCTCCTACCTCGTTCACCCACTGGGAGGACCGAACATGTTCATTTCAACTACTGCTCACTTGCCCTTGTTAAGGGGCGATGTTCGTGCCTGTTTCAGGAAGAAGTTGGGAGGTGTCAGAAAGGATCAGAGAATGTAACTATCCCCAGAATCCTGTGGCTTCCCAGGTAACATATTCAGGAAGGGTACGGAGGGGATGTCAAGCTTGGCTGAGGAAATCCGGGAAGGCTTCCCAGAGGTGTCACTGGCGAGCTGGATCTTGAAGGATCGATAATTAGGAGCTGGCCAGGTGGCGAAGGTGGGGATGGACACTCCAGACAGAAACCCTGCAAAGGCTCAGAAAGCTTTTTGAAACCAGTGGCAAGAGGCGGGGGGCGGGGGGGGGGGGGCGTCCTACATGAAAAAGCTCAAGGCGCAATTTTGATATCTGCCTTTCAGGGATTTGACTACCAGACCGATGAACCCGCAGAAGAGCCAATAAAGGTCATCAGGACCTGGTTGAAGGAACACTTGCACGTTTTCTTGGAGAAGCTAGAAAAAGAGGTGCAGGAGTTGGAGCAGCTGGTACAGGACCTGGAGGGGTGGTTAGATGCCCTTCTGGGAGAGGGGCACCCGGAGGATCCCTGCTCCAGCTTCAAGAACGGTTTGTGAGGGCCCGGGGCTGGACCCTGGGGAGGACGCCAAGTGAAAGGCGGGGGAAGGCTTGCCAGCTGACAAGAGCTGAGCTGTGACACTTGAATTTCAAAGCAGGCAAGACAATAAAATACCTGAGACCCTGAGAACTTTGCTGGCACCACGGCTGGTTCATGAACGAATGCCATCAGAAGGACACCAGGGCCCTGCTGAGATAGCCTCCAGGGCACCAGGACTCCGGGGTACCAGAACCAAGCCAGCCTCCAGGGCAGGACCCTTGCCCACTTCCCCGAGATCCGGCACAAATTCCCTAACCTCTCTGAGACGCAAGTGCCTCATGAGGAAAAATCAGGGTCACCAATTTGCCTCACAGCATTATGAGGGTGTATATGTAGAGTGCCTGATAGATAGGTCTTCCTTTCTTTCACTCCTTTTCCTTCCTCCCCGGAACTTAGTGAGACGAGTCTGGTTCTGGAGTATATAGATGTTAATGTGGCAGCTCAACCCTCTGGCCCCGCTTCTAACAGCATCAATTGCCAAAACCCCTGTGCAGGGCAATGTGGTGACAGCTATGAAATTCACAAATGCATTTACCATTTGACCCAGCAATCTGCCTCAGGGATTTATCTCCTATAAATGTGTGAAATATATATTTATCATATATATTCTTTATATATACTTGTCATAGTTATAGCATTATATAATTATATATAACATATATATTATATTGAAATATATACTTATAACACATATACATACATGTGTGAAATTACATGTACGTAGTGTTACTCTCCTAGCTTCGTTTATAATAGCAAAACAAAGGAAACAACCTAAATGATTATCCATAGGTCCCAGGTTAAATTAGGTAAATTTAAGTAAATTAGGCCCCTGTAGGTATGAAAGAGAATGAGGGAGCTTTTCTACTGATATGGAAAAGTCTACAAGAAAGGTTGTTAAATGAAAGAAATCAAGGTATAAGAAGAGCCTGGGAATAAGAATCTGTATTTTGTTGATGATGATGATGATGACGATGTTACTGAATGTGCATAAAAATAAGTAGGATACAAAACGGGGCGGGGGTGGTTGGGGGAATTGAAATGGGCAAATGTATGACCAGGATGAGAGCGAAACTTTTCACACTTTGTTATTTTCAGACTATGTGAATGTTTTGCCTATTCGAATATTTTTAAAATAAAATTACCTATTATTTTGCTTACAGAGACACTGGAATACAGTGTCTACAAGTAAAATAAGAATATCACTGTGATGAAATTACGAGTGACTTTTAATTTTGATGACTTTGATTAAACAATGATAATTCTTATCTAGGATTTTCTCTTTTTTTTTTTTTTTTTTAATGTTTATTTATTTTTGAGAGATAGAGACAGGCGTGAAGCAGGGAGGGGGCAAAGAGACAAGAGGAGAACCTTACACAGAATCCAAAGCAGGCTCCAGGCTCTGAGCTGTCAGCACAGAGCCCGACATAGAGCTCAAACCCACGAACTGTGAGATCATGATCTGAGCCGAAGTTGGACGCTTAACCAAATGAGCCACCCAGGCGCCCCTAGGATTTTCCCTTTTTCCCTTGACTTCAGGAAGTTCAGAGTTCAGTTGTCCATTGTGGGAATGATATCAGTCTCATTTTTTTTTTCATTATTTGACCCTTTCTATGATTTTTTGGGTTTGTTTTCTAGTTTACTGGAGCTATTATCGGTGTGCCAATTATCAGAACAACCTCAAATCTTTGGAAAGTCATGAGGGTTGCAATAAAAATATCTCCTAGAATATCTGACTTACAGGGAATGTCATGGCGATTCGTTTGCCAGGAGAAATTACTCGGTTGCCGCTTGGGAAGGAAAATGTCTTTACAAGTTATGGTCACAGTTTTGCCACTTTGAACATTCAGCAGGGACTGGGAAACCTGAATCTGTTTTCCTTGTTTGCAATTACTTCAGCAAGCACTCTGCAGGAAGGTCTCATATTGGCATTTCTCTGCACTTATCTTTACTATTACTATAAAGCTGTAGTTCCAGAACCCCAAATCATGTACATGTGCTCTACAGGTGTTGAGAGGGTTCTCAGGCATGATTCTGACTGTATACAGCCTTGGCTTAACACACACCGCAGACTCTAACCCCCATCGAAGTTGCAACTGTACTGTACCTGTAACATATGGGTGTGTGTTTATATTCACATATTATATATATTTATAGTTTATATATGATACGGTTATGAATGTTTTTATAAAACATACATGTACATAAAATTGGGGGATACGTGAAAAAAAGAAAACAGAGCTAGATCCTTGAGGAATGCAACCACCCCTGTGGATATTAGCAGAGCATTTGAAGAGAGGCATCACACCCTGAAAGCTCTTATGCATCACCCCCACGCACCCACACACAGAGCCTAACAGAAACGGCCCATGCTGGTGTGGGGCTGCAGCCCACTGGTGGTAGTTACTTTTGGTATGTCGACTTGTGAGCCCATAAGGGCAGCAAGCCATTCGGGGTGGCTCAGGCAATGAGGGTTTGTTGTGGCACAACAACACAGGAGTCAGAAATCTCATGGAAATCAGGGGCGTACCATAACCTGGGATCCTGGAATCTGGACCAGGAAGGGCTTCGAGAACCCAAAGCATCCACCAAGGTGCTCCAGGAGCCCCTGCTGCAAGACTCTGGGAGCTTCCCTCTAGCATTCCACCTTTACCTTGACCTGGCCACTCTCTGGGTCTCTGCTTTTCTTTGTGTGTCTGCCCCATCTCTTCCTGCTTCCAGTGGCTTCCTTGAGCACCACTCTAACCATCCCTTCTTCAGCTCAGCACTTCTGCCTCTGAGTCCTCCTAACTCTGATTTGCTCCTGGGCCCACAAGGCCTCTCCCTTTTTCATGACCTTCCAAACTTCCAGTGACCATATAATTCTGTCTGCATTTCCCAGATCAAGCTCCAAAGGGGGTGGATGGGATGTGACTGACTCATTTCATTGGCTGGAGTTTCCTGTCTTGAGTCAGGATCTGTGTCTACCAGCCTTTGGGTTGGATGGCCTTGGGGTGACCACTCCCGCTCCAATCAGCTGTGGCAGAAGGGGGAAGGGAGAATCAAATACGCCAGGATGGAGCTTCCTCATACGAGAAACAGCCTGGGATCCTTCCTGATGAGTGACTCTGGACCATGTGTAATGACCTCATATTTCCCAAGGTGGTCACAAGTGTGGCAGAGAGAGAGTGATGGCAACCATTGTACCTCAGAGCCCCCAGAGCCATTATCAGGGAAGCAGAATTGTGTGAGGCAAACATTCAAAAGCTGAATATAATTGCTAAGAATGAGGTGGAAGAGGCTTGACTACCAGAGTCACCATAGGCAAGTAGGTCATCTTAATTTGGCAATATTTCATTCATTCTCCAGCTCCTGAGTGTGAAAAATACAAATGACACACTTAAAAGGGAGAGCATGACTACCTTTCATGACTTTGAAGTCTTATAATTTGAATGACTTTGGCAAAATGTTGCCCAGAAGGTCTATCAGGGGCCCACTTTCATTATCTATAGAGTGGACTTCCCTTTGGGAAAGAAAATGTCTTTTACTTGAGAAGGCAACTATTTCCAGCTCTTTCCATTCAATCAAGAAACAATGCTGCCAGCAGAGCAGGGTCTCCCTGCCCCCACCCCAGCCCCCAACCCAACTCCCTTACAACAACCGGCTCCAAGTGATTCTGCAAGGCCAGGCTTCCCAGCGACCGAAGACTAAATAGAAAAGAGAAATTGAATAACAAAATCAGGAGTCAAAACTGAAGGGGCACTTGGGTAACTTAGTTGGTTAAGCATTTGACTTCGACTCAGGTCATGATCTCACCGCTCATGAGTTCTAGCCCCGCATCGGGCTCTGTGCCGACAGCTCAGAGCCTGGAGCCTATTTCAGATTCTGTGTCTCCATCTTTCTCTGCCCCTCCCCAACTTGTGCTCTGTCTCTGTCTCTCTCTCTCTCAAAAATACATAAACATTAAATAAAAATTGAAAAAAAAGAAAAAGAAATGATGGGGCCATGGGTGTACCAGCCACCGGCAAACGCAAAGTTTACAGGCTAATGGGAAAAACAAGTAGAAAAATCAAGACAAGGCAATTTCAGAGAATGATAAATGTAACAGTAGAAACAAGAAAACCACTTAGCAAGGCACTGTGGTTTTCCAGCTGGAAACGGAGGCTTGGAGTAGGGGGAGAGGTACAAAGAAGCAGAATTCAGTTTGAAAGTGTAATCAGCAGGACGTGCTGCTGGATAAGAATGAGGAAGAAAGGTCTAGATAGCTGCCTGCCAGGCCTCAGGACTTCCTCTCCAGCGGAGTGCAACCTGAGCCATGATTCAGGTCCTGACCCAAGGAGCTCATGAGGAAGAGACAGGTGTGGTCTTGTGAAGAGAAAAGTGGCCAGTTGGAAAAATGTCATGGCCACTCAATTATCCACATTTCTTCTTTTGTTTCAGGCACCTGGAGCATGAGGTCAGCATCACAAACAATTAAAATTTTCAATTAATTTTAATTGATGGTTTTCTCCCCATCTCTCTTTTACTTAATAGATCTATTTGGCAGCCTTCTTAATGCTCCCTCGGGCTCTTCTCTTTTGCTAACACTGATTCATTCTACGTTTTTCTTTGTTTTATTGTTTTTGGTCAGCTTCTATTCTGTTCCTCCAACTTATATAATGGTGAAAAAACCCACAATCATCAGATAATTCATGTTTTAAAGATAAGAATCTGATAATCGAGACAAAAATTGGGTAAGATAAAGTCTGCCTACCTATTAGCGATATGTATTTTCTAAGACTATAAGGACTATTGGAAAGACATAATGAAATTGTGGCAACAGACACTTAGAGAATGTGGTCCTGTTTTAGGCGCTTCATCGAGTGTTATTGTTACTTCCAGTTTATGGACAGGGAAACTGAGGCATAGAGAGATTATATCATTGTTAAAATCATATAATCAATGAATGGGGAGCCAGGATTCAAACCCAGGCTCTCTAGCATC